CGGCGAATTGGAGTAGCCAGTGGCGTTCTGCGTGAACTAGCCCGACACATTGTGACTAAAGCAGAGCTCAGTCTGAAAACTAAGCTCTCAATATTCAAGTCGATTTTTATCCTCATGCTTACCTACTGTCATGAACTGTAGATCATAACCGAAAAGCTATGAACCCGGGTACAAGGTGCTGAAATGGGCTTCCATCGAAGAGTCTCTGGTCTTACGAATCCTTATTATACAGCCTTTGTTTCTCCAGATTGAAAAGTCAGAGCTGCAATGGTTTAGGCATGTGTTGCGAATGCCTCCAGATAGGAAGACTAACGTTCTTTTTTTGCTCAACCTACCGGCAGAAGGCTCACAGAACGGCGAAGATTATCCTGGTGGAAATATATGGATGAAGTCTGCTCCAGACTCCAGTTGTCTTCTGCCGAAGCTCGGACTGTGGAACAGGATCGGGAACGTTGGAAGCACTGTCTGACGCGTCTGCCTCCGCGATCCGAAAGTACAAGCGGTCACGGAGGATGAAAATGAAGAAGATTCTGTGATGATTCTAATTTTCTCATTACAATCTTGAATTTTAAATAATTATGAAGTAGAAATGATCTTATCGTCATTCTTGTGTAAGTAAAAATTAATTTAATGTAGCCAAAGCACAGTAGGTTTAAGGACACGAAGGCGTTAGCTTATTCCAACTATTTATATAAAAATTAATTTGCATAAAAATTATTTTTGAGTCAGTTAGGACACCATGCGCAAATGTGTCGAAAGTGCAGTAAGCATTTCTTGTGACAGCAATGATCAAGGAAATAATCTCAGCAGGTTGCAGGATTATAAGCTCTAGCTGTTTCGTTTTTCATTATCTCCTCCTAAGTAGTTATGGATGATGCTCGGTAGTGCGTTTAAATTGACGGCGATGTGTAGATTAATAGCATTTCAGGACTAGGCGCAGGTCATGGACATGACTAGCTGCAGAGCCTCAGTGAAAAATATCCTTTTTTATATTTCTTCCATTTCTTCCTGTGACTAAGACAACCAGTGTTCTAACGTCGTTTTTTACTGAGGCACATTCAAATGCTTTGTCTGATGTATTTTTCACCGGTTCTTTGTCTGAGTAAGAGGCAGATTCACAAACTTCAAGGGTGGCGTTGCCGCTCAAATTCTTGATGACAAACACTTTTGACAGACTTCGGCTTTGGAAAGGAGATCAGTTTTTGTCTACCGCTGAATGATGCTAGGGAGCCCTTAGATACTTTCGCCATTTAGAGTTGATATGCTTTGCTATTAGGCTTCTCAGTGGAACTTTAAATGATATGAGACTTTTCTTTAGAGCTTCTGGTTGCCTAGTTATCGCTACCGGTTGACAGTTTCTGTAGATTCTGCAGCGGAAGAATGCCTGATGACCTGCCAAAATGCCTGTATATTGGTCTATCAGAGGATAAGCCCTTCGGTCTGCCAATTTCAAAACTTCGCACAGACTCAGCATTTGCTTAATCATGTAGAGTAACGAACAGAACGACATGAGAATTTTTTATTATTCTTAATTGCACCATGTCTCTCACTGGTCTGTGTCGCTCATTTGAAGTACGACATGCTCTCTGAGTGGATCGTGAAATCACGGTGAATTACTAGCTAATTTAAAAATTCGTTACGTCCGTAAATTAAGCTCGTAGAGTTGGCGTGTGACGTTTCAGCCCAGTGCTGCTTAAGAGCTTCGTAGGCTGACTGACGTTTAACAAAATCTGTTAATGAATCAAAGTGGTGAATCAACTGATGTCAATGAACAGCTTCCCGAAATGCGTCTAAAACATTCGCATTGAACAAAAACAACAGATGGGTGAATATTTTACTTAATTCTCATACGTTGCGTTTTTGGCCATTTCTATCCATGTTTATCCGTTGAATTTTTCACTTTATCCTGCTGTCGATCTGGAGGTACTCCGCTGGCCGTTTTCTCTCTGTTAGAATGCAGTATAATGTCTCTCCGGTTCAGCGATGCCCGTTCTTCTTACAACTTGCCCACTGCCACTTAAGCGTCTGAACTTGGAATTGTCGCAGCAGAAGTAAGTATGAAAATATTGAATGAAAATTGTAATTAACTGACCACCTAATCATTTTGATCAGTCATTAAGATTGGTAGTAATCTTTCGTGCTTCAAAATGACTCTGAACGAAGGCAAAAGCGCTCCTCCAATGATTGAACTATAATGACACTTGACCGTCAGTACTCTAAGGTATGTTAAGTCATAATGTCAGAAAGAGCCTCGTCACTGCTAGTGCTCCGTTTCATGATATTCTTCCGCGCAATTTTGTACAGAGAGGTTACAGACCGTTAATAATTGGATCATAAACTGAAACGCTCAATAATTCCCTTCCCATAAGCATCAATCAATCGTTACGGAGCAGCAGAGTGGCTACTGACCACAAACATCTCTTGGGGCATTTAAAAGCCTCTGGGCATCGTTTTCAGGTGCGGGTGCATCGCGAAAGTTCTGACTAACAATTGGAAGCGTGAAATGTGTGAGTAAATGTTTTATTGTATTAATAACTTTTTCTTGATTACTACTTTCAGAGCTTCGTTGGATGCGCCAAATATCCCCGTAGATGATTTCGAGTTTTCTTCTCCTTCCTTTGAGGCAGACTGAAATTCAAATTTTAGAACATGACATTCTCATGTTAATGGCGTGTAATTAGTGGGTAAATTGTCATATGTTCATTATAGTCATAAATAAGCGTTGGAACATATGAGTGAGATACAGGTTATACTCACAGTTTCTTAAAAAATTTTTGTGTTTATAGGTGTGTGTAGCTGATTTCGGTCATTTACTATTCGCTTATTATAGAAGCTTGGACGCATAAGTTTCAGCACGTGTCTCGAAGTGGATGCCCGACGACTGACAATCAACTTGACCAGGGCGGAAGATTTGCCCAAATTTGGAATATGTGGGCCCCCAGGTGAGCGAAATCAGATACTGTAATAATGACTCGTTAAGATGGTGTGTGTCCGTATTTTATTAAAATTTGTTTAATGTCCACCGTCTACCGTGATGTCCAAGGCAGTTAAAACTTTACCAATGGCACCCAACCTAATTCGTTCATAGCTTGCGGTGGAAGAGTATCCGTCAGCGTAAGTTAATTCAGTTTGCTTCCACGACGTCATTTGCATGATTTAATAATGGCCCGATAGTTATCCGTATGGAACGCACATTCAGTCGTTTTGCGCAGCGTGATTTACTGGGGATCACTTGAAGGCTCAAATGAAGATGTCAAATGATGAAGCACCTGCCGATCAAATGAATAACCGCTTTAGCTTGAGGGCCGCTGCCAAACCGCATCGGATCAGAGCTTAACTATGTGTATTGATTTTTATTACGATCGTCCCGAGGCTTAAGGTTAAGAAGTCGTGCGTTCACGCGATGTCAGGCTGCGACCTATTGAGTTTTTGAGTTTCATGACTAATCGTAAACACTGGCCTCAAGACATGTCGTGTCGGGAAGCAGTCGACCATTTCAAATATCTAAGCTCAGTAGTAGCTAGTGATGGCGGCTGTGATCCGGATATCATCCGACGTCTACGACTAGCAGCATCAACCTTTGGAAAGCTGGTCGGGATATGGAAAGACAGAACAATTTAATGGAAGACGAAGGTCAACGATTTGAAAGCAGCGGTCTTTTCCATACTCCTGCATTGCCTGTTAACATTCGTGATCTTAAATAGTTACGAAATTCAAGTGGGCCGGATCAGTGTTGCCGGACAGTGTTGAATCGGACATTGTTGCCTTCGACACATCCGAACGTTCCCATGGCATCGGCGAGTTTCTAACGATCGATTACTCAAAAAATTGACGGCTTAAAGGACATCTCCGAAGAACTACACCCTCAGCGACTGTCGGGGTGTCACAACATTGCTGATAAGAACAGTGACGATCTACAGAAGCTTATTTTCTTATGGGATCCGAAGAATGAGTGCAGAAGACCCGGATTTCAGTTCAAGGGCAGACGAAATATTGTAGATGCAAATCTGTTCGCCACAAGAACTGTATCCTTTGCCGCAACAGCTAATGCTTAAATTTATTTGAAAACTCAACTATACACCTGATGCATCATTAGTCTTGGGTCAATGAAACGTCATGGTCTGTGACCCTAGATGACAAACCTACAGGATAAACGTGTCATGTAACATCGGCAGCGCGGCGTTGCATTGTTTTTCATTCGATCACGTAGCCAATCAGCAGTACTGCCGCGGCAGTAAGCGGCCATTTATGTCATGCAACTCATTACCACTACAGTGTTAAGAGGCCGAGTTAGGCAAGACTCTCGAATTCATCGTTCACTGTTTTTAGATCCCTGTGTGCGTATTATACTTGAGCAAAACAACTTTCGTCAGACGAAGCAGACACGAATCTTGAAGAGCACTTACCACCCCGTGTTTAAAGAGGCGGTCATGTTCCTGGTATCGGCAAAGGAGGACGACCTGAACAACACCTGTTTGACGATCTCGGTTGTCGACACATCTCTGGGCGCCAACGTCGAAGACGTCATTGGCCAGGTGGTGCTTGGCAAGTACGCCAAGTCAAAGATCAGCATCGATCAGTGGCGAAACACGATCAGGAACCCAGGAAAGGAAATAAAGGCGACTCATGCGCTCAGATCCGTCGAAGAAAACCTCGAACTTAAGGTCGAAAGGCTGGCTTCCTGAGCTGATTTGAACTCAGAGGAGCTGCTTTCATGAACTTCTTTCTCAGAAGCGACCTTTGCTTGCACTTCAACTTTCTGCCTCTGTTACGCCGCTTTTTCATTGGTTGCGTCTGGAACTTCTGACGATTTGTGCAAAATTTTGTACTCCTCTCTTTTTCCGGTTCACGTCGTGCTGTAAGATAACCGATTGCTTTTGTTCAGAAATGGTTTAACCAGACCCGAACTGGACGATATTCGTTTCGTTTCGATGTAAGTTTGTCTGACACTTGTCGTTTGTAAAGAAGCTCAATGTCTTCTGAAGCTTTTATTATGATATGTTCGTTGTGAAGATGATTATGAAAAGAAGTTTTACCGAAACCGAGTGAAGTAGCAACAACAAAATGGATTCGTCATTCACCTTCAGTACTGAGCTTAGGTTCGCATGAGCACGATCACGTGCAGAGCATCCCTGCTCGCTTCTGAATTAGTGCCAAAGTGCCACACGTTTAAATGTATTTGACTTAACCATAAATGCAAAATGTCTTTGAAAATCCGTGTTTTTTCAGCAGATAAAATTTGCCCAACTTCTCTACTTTATGGTAGATTAGCTGCGGACTTTCCTGGACGGACACCTGATAATCCCCAAGTAATGAGTATTAATGAACGAGTACGGAAATGTAACTTCCCTCGTGAACATTTCGCATTCGACTCGGCGGCAGAGTAATTTTGAATTTGCCCTTCGAGATGAAATTGAACGAGTTGAACGATGTTTACATCGTACAAGAATGAGGCGAAAACATTTGCTCAACAGATGAACAACGAGAATCACTCAGCATGCCATTGTTGTGCTATTCCTGCATTGCAGGACTTAAGCATTCTTACAGAACGATTTGTTTTCTCACTGAAATTGCACTGTGAACAAGTTCAGCTACATACCTTCGCATCATACCGATATACGAAGTTAATTAATTCATTCATTTTCCATGACCATTTCTCTTTTCGAATCGCGGAGGTAGACACGTCACACAGTGCTTCCAACGTTCCAGATTATGTGCCAGCATCCGAACTTCGGCAAGATGTAAATAAGGTACCGAGCGGACTCATTTAATATATTTGCATCAGGTTAATCTTGACCGTTCCCTGGGTCTCCTGACGGTTGGTTTTGCAAATAGTAGCTGCTTTGCTGTCCTTTCTGGAAGCATTTCCAAAAGAACGCAGTTTTGACATCACAGTCTCAAGAAGCGTCGGCTTTGCACCAAAGATCTCTCGGATATCTGTAAGCCAGACCGTCTCGAGACAGACGGGGCTAGAGATTCATCTCAAAAACACAATTTCAGCCGCTTGTGCCAGGATCTAAGCTGTTCAGTCATGCAGATGAGAACGGGGATGAAGACCAATTTCAACACTGAATGCTTAGTGTTCAGACTTCATACAGCTCTGCTTTAGTCACAACGGACCAAGCTCGATCATGCAGAAGGCTACAGGCTATTCCAATCCACTAGTCGTCTCTTCCTCCCATTTTCCATTACATTACAAGCAAACTCGACTCAAAGGTGCTTGAACAACTTCATATGCTTCACTGCATTTCCGTTTATCCGAAGAGTGCAACAGGCAGGAGAACGAGAAGGTACTAGGCTATTCGCATGCCGGCCACGCCGCATTCAGCTGCGAACCTTTCCGAAGAGCGCTAGAGAGCAGTTTCAAAAGATGCAAACAAAGCGATGTCGTCTGCAAACAACAACCTTCTCTTCTCGACATCTGCTACACTGATGCTCTCATCGCCCTGACTGCGTCGGACTATTTTATCCATGTACAACACAAACATGAGAGGTTACAGGACACAGCCTTAGCGGAGACCAGTGCCAAAGTTGAAAGGCTTCGAATTAACGCCATTTACTCTGACGCAGCAACTGCTATCAGAATACAATGATTCGATGGCCCTTAGCAAGTGGCATCAATCCCTATACTCGCAGGCATGACCACAGACTGTTGCACGCGACCCGGTCATAGGCTTTTTCTAGGTCAACAAAGCACATGTACACCGGATTGGCGAACTCCCACGATTTCTCAACAATTTGCAATAGGGTGAATATATGGTTATAGGTGCTTCGACCAGGTCTGAAGCAACACTGCCCTTCTTCTATCTCGGAGTCAGTTACTCCGCGGCACCTCCTTTCTAGCGTCTTTGAGCTGACTTTCTCTGGAAGGCTGAGTAGGGTATTGCAATAGGAATAAATGGAGAATTCCCTACTGTCTTCCTTCTTGAATGAGGGAACAGCAACCCTCGTTCTTCAGTCAGCTGGTTTCTTCCTTGTAGCTACTGCAGTTTGGCATACACGTGTATGCCAGCGCCAGCACATGCGTTGTTCACCTAATGCTTTGAACATTTCAGGGCGGATTTCATCAATT